TAGCCACAGGGAGACACCAAGGCCAGTTCCAGATCATGCGCCATGCTCCAATATGATGGGATCCTGGGAATTATGGATTTACTTACCAAAGAATGCTGGTGATACCAAACAACAAATCCCATAATTCCATAGCATTGAGCCATGACAATTAAAGTGGAGTCTAGATGCACCCCTAATCTCACAATGTTGACTTTGAGAAGATGGCTGGACTTGAGCAAGCCCCATTTAATTACACAGGTCTAGATTTCCACTATGCAAACAGCCTGCAGAGCCATAGCCAAATTTTGAAGAGTTTGGCATTGACAAAATGATCTGTTCTCGATATTTTTAAATATATATTCAAACAATAAAGTAATATGCCACACCTTCTCCTAATATAATGTGAGCCGTTAATGTAATCTGTGGACACATGGAATTAAAATCAGCACCTATGACCCTGGGAGAAGTTGTAAAAAGGAGAAGTTATGCCATTTCCTCCTATTTATCAGGAGAAATTGAGCTGATGAGTGTTGAAACTCCTTTTGTTTTAGAAAGCCAACCTCTCTGGTTGTGCAAGGATCCTTGTTTAAACTGGGGATTAACAGCAGAGTTTATCTGAATGGGGTATTAGCTGTTCGGTTTGTCCACACAAAGGTCCCATTGAGACCTGGTGTAGTCTGCGGCTGAAGTTAATCTTTGTATCAATTGTGAAAAGGTCTTGGCTGTAAACAGAATCCAGACGTGTCAAAATGGGCACCTCATCAGCTGCATTATCAGTGCGGTGGATGCTTCAGAAAATGCTTACTTACAGTAAAGGACAGAAAAATCCCTAAAATTTAATATTTATCTGGAAAAAGCTGCATCCCACCACATTACTTAAATCTTTCCACCATCACCAAATTCCCTGCATTGGGTCTAGGTGTCAGTTCATGGCTAGTCTCTCAATGACCAGAACAGTTTAGAGGCAGACCTTTGTTGTTGTTGTTGTTTATTCATTCAGTTGTTTCTGACTCTTCGTGACCTCCTGGACCATCCCAAGCCAGAGCACCTTGTCGGTCGTCACCACCCCCAGCTCCTTCAAGGTGAATCCAGTAACTTCAAGGATACCATCCAACCACCTTGTCCTTGGTCGGCCCCTCTTCCTTTTTCCTTCCTTTTTCCCCTGCATCATTGTCTTCTCTAGGCTTTCCTGTCTCCTCATGATGTGGCCAAAGGACTTCAACTTTGTCTCTAGTCTCCTTCCCTCCAGTGAGCATTCGGGCTTTATTTCCTGGAGGATGGACTGGTTGGATCTTCTCGCAGTCCAAGGCACTCTCAGAACTTTCCTCCAGCACCACAGCTCAAAAGCCTCTCTCTTCCTTCGCTCAGCCTTCCCTAAGGTCCAGCTCTCACATCCGTAGATGATTATGGGGAATACCATTGCTTTAACTATGCGGATCTTGGTTGCCAGTGTGATGTTTCTACTCTTCACTATTTTATCGAGATGGGTCATTGCTCTCCTCCCAAGAAGGTAGCGTCTTCTGATTTCCTGGCCACAGTCTGCATCTGCACTAATCTTTGCACCTAGAAATACAAAGTCTGTCGCTGCCTCCACATTTTCTCACTCTATTTCTCAGTTCTCAATCATTCTTGTTGCCATAATCTTGCTTTTTTTATGTTTAGCTGCAACCCAGCTTTTGCACTTTCTTCTTTTACCTTGATTTGAAGGCTCCTCAGCTCCTCCTCACTTTCGGCCATCAAAGTGGTGTCATCTGCATATCTAAGGTTGTTAATGTTTCTTCCAGCAATTTTAACTCCAGCTTTGCATTCATCAAGCCCCGCACATCCTCGCATGATGTGTTCTGCATACAAGTTGAATAGGTTGGGTGAGAGTAGACAACCCTGCCGTACGCCTTTCCCAAACGTAAACCAGTCATAGAATCATAGAATCATAGAATGAAAGAGTTGGAAGAGACCTCCTGGGCCATCCAGTCCAACCCCATTCTGCCAAGAAGCAGGAATATTGCATTCAAATCACCCCTGACAGATGGCCATCCATCCTCTGTTTAAAAGCTTCCAAAGAAGGAGCCTCCACCACACTCCGGGGCAGGGAGTTCCACTGCTGAACGGCTCTCACAGTCAGGAAGTTCTTCCTCATGTTCAGATGGAATCACCAGTCTGTTGTTCTATGGTCAGTTCTGACTGTTGCTCCTTGGTCCTTGTACAGATTCCTCAGGAGAGAGACAAGGTGGCTTGGTATGCCCATCCCACCAAGAACCTTCCACAGTTTATTATGATCACAAAGTCAAAGACTTTAGAACAGTCAATAAAACAGAAATAGATATTTTTCTGACACTCCCTGCCTTTCACCATTATCCAGCATCCGGATATTGGCAATTTGGTCTCTTGTTACTCTGCCTTTTCTAAACCCCAGCTTGTACATCTAGCAACTCTCTCTCCATGTATTGCTGGAGAAATAAGGGCCACTGTACAAAAGTTTGAGCAGTCTTTAGCACAGTGTTTCTCAACCTGGGGGTCAGGACCCCTGGAGGGGTCACGAGGGGGTGTCAGAGGGGTCACCAAAGACCACCAGAAAACACAGTATTTTCTGTTGGTCATGGAGGTTCTGTGTGGGAAGTTTGGCCCAATTCAATCCTTGGTAGGGTTCGAATGCTCTTTGATTGTAGGTGAACTATAAATCCCAGCAACTACAACTCCCAAATGTCAAGGTCTATTTTCCCCAAACTCTACTAGTGTTTACATTTGGGCATACTGAGAATTCGTGCCAAGTTTGGTCCAGATCCATCATTGTTTGAGTCTACAGTTCTCTCTGGATGTAGGTAAACTACAACTCCCAAAACTCAAGGTCAGTGCCCACCAAACCCTTCCAGTATTTTCTGTTGGTCATGGGAATTCTGTGTGCCAAGTTTGATTCAGTTCCATCGTTGGTGGAGTTCAGAATGCTCTTTGATTGTAGGTGAACTATAAATCCCAGCAACTACAACTCCCACAGGACAAAATCAATACCCTCCCCCAATCTGTTACTATTCATAACAGCAGCAAAATGAGTTATGAAGTAGCAATGAAACTAATTTTATGGTTGGGGGTCACCATAACATGAGGAAGCGTATTAACTAGGGGTCATGGCATTAGGAAGGTTGAGAACCCTGCTTTAGCATTTCCCTTTTTGGTATGGGGATATGAATTGATTTTTTCCAGTCTGATGGCCGTTCTTGTATTTTCCATATTTGCTGGCATATGGCATGCATCACCTTGACAGCATCATCTTTCAAGATTTTAAACAGTTCAGCTGGGATCCTGTCATCTCCTTCTGTCTTGTTGTTAGCAATGCTTCATGCAGTTACTCATCTACAATGGGATGTCAAGTCATTCAGACAAGAAAATTTTCACAAAGAAATGACCTCATAACCTCTGAGGATGCTTGCCATACATGCAGCAAAAACGTCAGGAGAGAATGCCTCTAGAACATGGCCATATAGCCCGAAAAACCTACAACAGCCCAAAGAAAGGGAGTTTAGGACCCTTTGGCCAGCAATTCTTGACCCTCTAGCATAATGGTGGCATGAAAAGATCTTGAGATGGTGCATGCAATCTGTGGGATGACCTTTGCACACTGCAAGACTAGGTAGATCAGAGACCTGATTCAGTATCAGCTACTTATTAATGTTCCTTGAGTTCTAACCATGATGTAGAAAGTGCTTGAATGTTACATAAATCAGTGTTTGGCAGCCATGGTACACATGATATTCAAACACCCCATTATTGTTATTTGTCCTCCTCCCTCAAGAATGAATTGCCTCTTCTGGAAGTCTCCATGATTCTGGGAATGGAGGAAGTTCTAAGGATTTACAGTCCAATAAGTATCTCTTTCCAAACTCTTGTTGACAGAGCCTTGAGAGGACAATTCTGAATCCTGAGCAGAGGAAATCCATTCTTGATCTCCATAATAGATCAATTTAGATAAGTCTTGAAAAGTGATAGCCTCTTGCCTGCATTGTTCATGAGATTTGGATTTGAGCCTCCTTCTGAAGAAAGGCTGATCTCTGCCAGGCACACACTCCATCCTTCCTGCCAAATAATGCCCAGAAAGAGAGATTGGCAGCATTCTGGAACCTCAAGTCCATTTGATACATCTTGCTCAACAATCTTCTCAAACTTTATGAAATGATATGGCAAACCAACAACACTGTGACCATGATGATGCTAAACTGATTATCTCAATGTTCTTGGCATCCCGTTTGGGTCCTCCTCATGTTGGCCACTCATATAAATGGCTGTTGCCACCTCTTTATTTCCAGAGCCAGAAAGAGGTGAGAGGGCCAGGTGGCCATAGGCTAAGGCCACATCAACCACCCTTTGGGAGGGCCTGGGGGAATCCAAATTTCTCCATTGACTTCCGAAAGAAAGACTCCACTGAAACAGAGAAGGTTTTTTGGAGATCAGTGAACATCATGAACCATAATTGTAACAGTGAATCCACTCTGTGTTTTGGTCTGAACTTTACAGACATTGTCTAAGATGCTGAACCTAAGACTCATTGACTTGGATAGTTATGGGGACTAGGGTTCAACATCTTTGGTAGCTCTTTCAAAGTTCTGATGAACATCCAGAATAGATGTTCTATATCATGGAAATATCTAGCCACTATTAACTAAATACTCTCATTTTTATATTCATTATTGATGAATGAACATCATGATGAGTGAACATCATGAACCACTCTGTGTTTTGGTCTGAACTTTACAGACATTGTCTAAGATGCTGAACCTAAGACTCATCGCCTTGGATAGTTATGGGGACTAGGGTTCAACATCTTTGGTAGCTCTTTCAAAGTTTTGATGAACATCCAGAATAGATCTTCTATATCATGGGAATATATAGTCATTATTAGCTAAATACTCTCATTTTTATATTCATTATTGATTATTTCTGTGTTGCTATGGATCCTGTTCATCTTTCTTTTGCCCAGGAGAAAGTTTGTGACTGGTAACCTTATCTCAACAGGTTTGACCAGAACCAAGATGTTAGCAGTTTGGTGCCTTGTCTTCTTCTGTGGTTGGCTTTCTCCATCACTGAGCCAGCAGCTGCTCCCAACAGATGTTGTCATCAGGGTCAACAAGGGTGTCTTGCATAATGGTAAGTCAATGGAAATAGAGCTTTGAAAGGACTAATGAAAGAAGATGGAGGGCTTACCTTCTCTGGAGGTCTTTAAATGAAAGTTGGGTGGTCATCTTCTAGGGTTACTTTAGCAGTGAATTCCTGCATAGCAGAGAGCTAGAGGAGATAACTCACATAGTCCCTCTGAACTCTATGAAATTCATCCTGTTCAGTAGTTATGATGTTGTAATTTAAACTTATGGCCTTCTTGGATATAAAGTGGATATAAAAATAATATGTGGTCAAAGGGGCATTCTTGTTTGAGTGTTGGACAAGGACTTTCAATATGATAATCTATTGAATAACCTTGGGCATTACCTCAGGGGAGCATGCTTGCTCCATCCATGTTCAACATCTACACAATTGACCAGCCACGGCAAGAAGGGACAGAGAGTTCCATCTATGCTGATGATCGTGCCATTACCGCAGGGAGCTTTGAGATGGTAGAACAGAAGCTCTCCGAAGCACTCTGGACCGTGCTTTTACCTACAAGAAGCACTGCCTGAACATCAAGCAAAAAGTGGGTGCTAGAAACAATATCATACGAAAGCTGCTGGCACAACCTGGGGATCACAACCAGACACAGTGAAGACATCTGCCCTTGCGCTATGCTACTCTGCTGCTGAGTACCATGCCCAGTGTGGAACACATCTCACCACACTAAAACAGTGGATGTGGCTCTTAATGAGACATGCCGCATTATCACGGGGTGTCTGCGCCCTACACCACTGGAGAAATTACATTGTCTAGCCAGTATCACACCACCTGACATCCGCCGGGAAGTAGCAGCCAATAGTGAAAGGACCAAGGCAGAGACATCTCCAGCTCATCCCCTGTTTGGGTATCAGCCAGCACGTCAATGACTCAAATCAAGAAATAGTTTTCTAAGATCTACAGAGACACTCGCTGGAACACCTCAGCAAGCGAGAGTCCAAAAGTGGCAGGCTCAAACCCAGAACCTCAACCAATGGCTGATACCAAATGAGAGACTCCCCCCTGGGCACACAGAAGACTGGGTGACTTGGAAGGCGCTGAACAGACTGCACTCTGGCACCACGAGATGCAGAGCCAACCTCAAGAAATGGGGCCACAAAGTGGAATCCACGACATGCGAGTGCGGAGAAGAGCCAACCACTGACCACCTGCTGCAATGCACCCTGAGCCCTGCCACATGCACCATGGAGGACCTCCTTGCGGCAACACCAGAGGCACTCCAAGTGGCCAGATACTGCTCAAAGGACATTTAATCAACGACCAAGCTTGCAAATTCTGTGTTTTGTCTGTTTGTTTGTTTTGTTCTGTTAGAAATGTAATACAATTGACTGGTTGCCCTGACACAACAAATAAATAAATAGACCTTGGGCATGTCCTCCTCGCTTCATGATAGAGAAAGCAGTGGTGGATTCCTCCTTGTGCTTTCTTCTGTGAATGATTTTGGAAGTTGACGGGCGTATTCTAGGAGAAAGGCATCATCATCACAACAACAATAATACATTAGTAGGCACCATTTGGTTTTGGCCAGGTTATCTCTCTCAAAGGAATTCCCAAGAAAACCTCTATCAGAGAGGCCTCCAAAGCACTTCTGGTGCTCAGTCAGGAGATATGGCTTTTCTAGTATATTTAATTCCCTCAAAATCCCATTTGCCATTATATTACCAGAACATTATAACGCTATCTACTATCTGGTGCCATTGTAGTGTTATTATGGATACATTTTTTAAAAAAGTAAACAAAGCAAGGTAATAGTGAGGAACGGAATACAGGAGATGGCAATGGCATCATTAACGAGGGTGAAAGTATGTGCCAAGAATATTCGTAAGGAGGAAATGCTCAAGGATGCAGCAATCAGCTACCATCCTGATATGATAAATATGATGTGTGGATTGAATGAAATTGTATGAAATGTGTATAACTGGGCCTATATTAGCCTGAAGACACCATCCTAAGCAAATTGGGCATTATGCAAAACTGTAAAAAAAAAAAAAAGATGAAAATTTCATGAACTGCTGAACTACTGGCATGACCAGAGAATGATTAACTCTTGGGTAAACAACATGTTTACATGTCCAGTGACAATGATTCTTTAAGTTAAGTCAACATAATGGTTCCTTACATTAAGAATGAAAACCAGTATATCAGTTAAGAAAGAAAAGCTAACATCTTTCCGGAACTGATGGAGTCAGCATGTTGTAGCTGGAAAACAACCTGTCAGCCATTTACAACAACAACAGCAGAAAAATTTCTATGTAAGAGACCATTTTACTTTCCAAAAGTGTGGCAGACTGCAGGAATGCAGGAATGCAGGTTCTGTACACCTGCCTCTTTCTCCAAAGGAAGGAGAAGATGATGTAGTAGCAGAATTGCAGGTGTGCAGGGAATGCAATCTGGCCTACGTTCAGTTCTCTTCTCCATGAGAAGGAAGAAGGGATGGTAATGTTAATGTATGCGTGGGAGTGTGTATGTGTATATACACTGAGTGAAATGTAATATTCCCTTTGCTTCTGTAACCAATGTAGTTGTATAGAGTCTGTGTATCTACTTCTTTCTCTGAAAGTGCCTAAAGCAACCTGTCTCACTGAAAACAGAATAAAATAACCCTTTTAATGTTCAAAAAGTATTCATGACACTGAGACCTGATGAAGCTGGGTTCAAGTGGAATAATGGAACATAAAGAAGTGGTGTGACGGGCCCTAAAGACCAATAGGCTTTAACTCAACAGGCTCTCCTGGAAATAATTCCACTAGTAGGCTTGGGTAACAACGGAAAAATTTGGTTCTAAACTCGTTTCGTTTTTAGGGGGGCCCTTGCGTTTCGTTTTTTTAAAGAATTCCAAAATTTTCCTTTAAAAAATTTCCTTTAAAAAATATACAGAAATATAAAAAATTCGTAAAATTACGAATCGTTTAGTTAATGGCGGACGCAATTGCGTAATATGCTAAAAATAATTTATTTTTTATCATTGATAAAACAAACAACAATAAAACTTGCACCAGACATACAGAAATAATTACGAAACAATTACGAAACAATTTTGAAACAATTTTGAACCAATTACGAAACAATTACAAAACAATACGAAATAAATTGGAAAAATTGTTTCGATTTTTAATTACTCCTCACAGTAGTCCTGCATGGCTCAATATTGGATCGTAAGCTAATTTAAATACGAATTAATAACAAATTACGAAATTAACGAACGAAACCGCCCAAGCCTATCCACTAGAGATGCATTGCTGAGGCTGTCATATTTTGCTTCCTAATGAACTCATTTCCTGTGGTTTGCTTTTGCAGCTGTCTCCAACTCCATGGCCCAAAGCAACGCCCTCCAAGGAGCTATGACAGATCTGCCGATTGGAGGTGGTGGTGGTGGTGGTGATGGTGGTCTACTAGGAGGCCTCCTTGGTGGTGGTGGTGGTGGTGGAGGAGGAGGAGGCCTCCTTGGTGGTGGTGGAGGAGGCCTCCTAGGAGGTCTTACGGGGGGCTTACTTGGGGGAGGAGGGGGAGGACTGCTTGGTGGCCTCACTGGGGGCTTGCTTGGAGGGGCAGGAGGAGGCGGTGGTGGGGCTCAGAGACCGGGGGGCTATAGAGCTCCAAGTGCTATTGGTGGCAATGGTGGAGGTCCTGGTGCTGGTGGGCTGCTGGGGCCAGGAGGTCTTTTGGGTGATGGAGGTCTGCTTGGCGTTGCAGGGGTACTTGGTGGTGGTGGTGGTCTCCTTGGGAATGGAGGTCTACTGGGCAATGGAGGCCTCCTGGGTGGAGGTGGCATCCTGGGCATCCTTGGAGAAGGAGGTCTACTTTCTACAGTCCAAGGGCTCACAGGGTAAGTCTTGTTTTCTGTCCTTCTGGCAATGATCTTATCATGAATACTTTTTGAAGCTTTAATAGCAGGAAAGGATCCTATGGTTACAGAGGTCTTATTATACAGTTCTTGTATGTATGTGTGTGTATCTATTGTGCAATGGATATGCTCATTTCATTGTGAAGATTGTGGAAGAGAGGGTGGCAAGAAAAAAGTGGACACACAACGTGACATGTAATCATTGGAAATTATAGTTTGAAACCAGTAAATATTTGTCAGTAAGAGGAATTAACCCCAGTAATGTGCAAATGTCAATCTGCATGAAAGCTATGTGCTAATACTCTATCTCAGGTAATAAATAGAACAAAGGGCTGTCAAACTTGACAATAGTTAGCTCTCTTCCAATTTCCAATATACATGGATTTGGATCCAGTTGGTAGACATTGGATCCTTGGAACCATATAAGATGCCTCATGAGCTGTTGCCTGCATGTTTCTTACAGGTTACGGATTGTGGAACTGACTCTTCCCAGGATAAACCTGAAGCTTGTACCTGGAATTGGGGTCCACCTGGATCTGTACACCAGGGTGGCTCTCAATGGCAAGAGGTATGTAGGACAACCTGAGACATGATCATGTTGAGGACAGAAAGCTCCTTGGCTGCACCTTGATCTTGCCTTTCCTGTGTTTACCCTTTTCTGACTTCTTTTTTAAAGCCTAAGAGGAAGGCAATGGTAAACATTCTCTGAATACATGTGGCCAAAAAGCCTAGGGCAGCCTTATTGTAGTGTGTCATAGTGCTTAGAGTGTTGGATAGCAGTTTAGGAAACCAATGTTCAGACCTTTGGAGGCTTTGGGCTCTGAAGAAGACAAACACAAATCCTCTTAAACTGGGCTCTACAGGCCAATGGAGACTCCACCTCAGACATCAGAATTGCTGCAAGACCGAGAACAAGCCACGAGAGTCAAGACAAAGATCTGCCCAGAGGAAAAGTGTTCTTGCCAGGGAACCACTGACCACATAGGGAAGCTGATGAGGAAACACAACCTACAACAATCTACAGACTCACTTAGAAAATCCAACCAATGCTTGTTGTTGTTCATTCGTTCAGTCGTCTCCGACTCTTCGTGACCTCATGGACCAGCCCACGCCAGAGCTCCCTGTCGGCCGTCACCACCCCCAGCTCCTTCAAGGTCAGTCCAGTCACTTCAAGGATGCCATCCATCCATCTTGCCCTTGGTCGGCCCCTCTTCCTTTTACCTTCCACTTTCCCCAGCATCATTCCCTTCTCTAGGCTTTGCTGTCTCCTCATGATGTGGCCAAAGGACTTCCACTTTGTCTCTAGTCTCCTTCCCTCCAATGAGCAGCCGGGCTTTCTTTCCTGGAGGATGGACTGGTTGGATCTTCTCGCAGTCCAAGGCACTCTCAGCACTTTCCTCCAGCACCACAGCTCAAAAGCATCGATCTTCCTTCGCTCAGCCTTCCCTAAGGTCCAGCTCTCACATCCGTAGGTTACTACAGGGAATACCAACCAATGTTACGTTCAGCAAAAGGCAACAGGGATCCTCTCACCTTTGAAGGAGTGTACTGTATACCATGAAGCTGTGGACAATTCTATAGAGGGACCACCAAACGCAGCAGCATTGCCCAGACACGAATCAAGGAACATGAAAGGCACTGCAGACTACTTCAACCAGAGAAATCAGCCATAGCAGAGCACACGATGAACCAACCTGGACACAGCATATTATTTGAGAACACAGAAATGCTGGACCACCCCAACAACCACCATGTCAGACTACACAGAGAAGCCATTGAAATCCACAAACCCTAAAGTGTTTCTAAAGCATTGTCAGTAAAAAAAAAAAAAGTTACTATAACGAAAGTAACAAAATTATGTTACTTTTTTGTTATAGTAATTGTGTGAGTGGAGAAACTTCAGAGGCTCCTTTCTCCCTCCTTGGTACAGCTATTGGGGTGAAACTTGCTACTATGGTAGAACACATTTATTTCTAACTGACGTTGACGTACTGTACTGTCTCTTCCAATGGCTCCTAAACAAAAAAAGTTGTATAAAAATGCCCACTGTGTTGAGACAGTAGGACACCGAATCCAAGTTTCTTGGAAACATTATTGGGAGAAGAAGCCCAACATGCTTGTTGAGAGTTTGAAAAAGAATACTTGGATTTTGTGAGGGAATTCACTCAATTAATTGTTTCCTTCTCCTTTCAATTTAGCTTGCTGGGCTTGCTTGACATTGCAGTGGAGGTGAACATCACCGCAGTTGTCCGACTGACCATGGATGGGATCGGATACCCCAGGCTAGTGATTGACCACTGTGATACCCTTCTTGGAGGGATCAGAATCCGGCTCCTCAGAGGGTAAGCATGATCAGATGTGGATTCTAAATACAGGCAGTCTCAGAGTTACAAACATCCAACTTACAAACAACTCATAGTTAAGAATGGGTCTGAGACAAGAGGAGGTGAGAGAAATAGGAATGGAAAAGAGTTATTATCACAGGGGCAAAGGGTCTCCACTGAAGCTTCCTCTCCAATCCTTGTTTCCATAACAAGCTAAATGTTTCACAATCCAATTATCACAGGGAAAGAAACTGAGGTGAAATCCTCTGAACAGAGGCACAGACAGCAAAAGAAACCCCACAGAGGTGTTAACCCTTCCCTATGATATACAAAGCACATACACACACTTATATGTATGGAGTCACACTTTAAAATGCACGTGTTCTGACTTACAAGCAAATTCAACTGTTTTTTTTCCCTTTTGTCTCCAGCCTGCTTCCAATTGTGGACCATTTATTAGCACGCATCCTGAACAGACTTCTTCCAGATTTGGTAAGTGACACTAACACAGTTGGCCCTCACTTTTGTTGGGTTAAATATTGAGGATTTGAAAATTTTTGAATGTTATCAATATTAATATATTCTCCCTAGGAATCTTTAGGACCTCTTGGTGACCATACAGTCATCTTGGGGGACCTAAAAATTCCTAGAGATAATACTTACAGAGAAAACACTTCAAAAACAATCACTTTAATACCAAAACTGCACTTAACCAAATCCGAATGACAACTGATTTGATACAAATATTGAATTTGTGAAATAACTTTGTGTGCCATAACAATTGTTTTGTATTTTCCAAATTCAACACCCCAAAACTCATTGAGAAATAGCTAGTGTATTGCAAATAGCTTTTCATCCCATGCCTCTGATCTAGGAGAAAATGAAAAGGCACGGTGCTGGTACAGCTGTACCAGGAGCTCCAACTTCATTTTCTTTCTATTGAGTATTTGAATGTATTCCAATGTTCCATGCATTTTGCAATAAGGTGGTTTTCCTTGCTCTGCAATTATAGGGCCAATGACCTGTCAATCATCATTATTTTCTTTAGTTCCGCCCCTTTCCCCAGGGCTCTGGGAGGGAAAAGAAAGACTTCAGGCAGTCTTTCAGTTTGGAAGCCCAGTTACAGGACGTGAGCTTTCCCCACCTGTAGAGAAGCTTTGTTTCTCACAACATCCAGGGGAAACAGCCCTAAAGCTTCTAAGGAAAACAGTTTTACAGCACAACCCTTGTTGGGGTTAAAGATACAGATCCACACCATTCGTGGAGAAAATCCAAAAGGGCGCGAGAGCAGTACGTGTGAAAAAGATCTTGGAGTCCTCGTGGACAACAAGTTAAACATGAGCCAACAATGTGATGTGGCGGCAAAAAAAGCCAATGGGATTTTGGCCTGCATCAATAGGAGCATAGTGTCTAGATCTAGGAAGTCATGCTACCCCTCTATTCTGCCTTGGTTAGACCACACCTGGAATATTGTGTCCAATTCTGGGCACCACAATTCAAGAGAGAGATTGACAAGCTGGAATGTGTCCCGAGGAGGACGACTAAAATGATCAAGGGTCTGGAGAACAAGCCCTATGAGGAGCGGCTTAAGGAGCTGGGCATGTTTAGCCTGAAGAAGAGAAGGCTGAGAGGAGATATGATAGCCATGTATAAATATGTGAGAGGAAGCCACAGGGAGGAGGGAGCAAGCTTGTTTTCTGCTTCCCTGGAGAATAGGACGCAATGGAACAATGGCTTCAAACTACAAGAGAGGAGATTCCATCTGAACATGAGGAAGAACTTCCTGACTGTGAGAGCCGTTCAGCAGTGGAACTCTCTGCCCCGGAGTGTGGTGGAGGCTCCTTCTTTGGAAGGCTTTTAAACAGAGGCTGGATGGCCATCTGTCAGGGGTGATTTGAATGCAATATTCCTGCTTCTTGGCAGAATGGGGTTGGACTGGATGGCCCATGAGGTCTCTTCCAACTCTTTGATTCTATGATTCCATGACTCCAGCTGGAAAATCTACAAGGTCTTGGCTGGTAGGTCTACTCGGGTAACCAGAAGCAATTGGAGCCGGGAGTAGGGCCCACACCAGCAGAGCCTAGAAAACAGATTGCCCGGGAGGGGTCAGTTGCCTGTCCCTTGTGGACAAGATTAAGAAAGCCACCAGTTGATTCAAAGCCTTGAAGCATTTGTTTAATTTGTTGAAGATCTGAGAAGTATTTGATTGTTTTGTTGAAGACCTAAGCAATAATAAAGGACTTTGTTAAACCTTTCAAGCTTCTAAAGACTCTGTATAGGAAAATCCTTAGGGCCTCTCAGTTGAGGCACCCCGGCTTCCCGCTGGGCACAAAGAGCACGTCCTGTTCAAAAGCCAACTGCTATAGGCCCAGCGCGTGACAGCACAGGCACTGAGGGAAAGGGGAATGAGTAGGCAAACAATTGCTCTTATTTTAACAATATTCTGACATTTTGCCTCAAATATCTCATTAGAATATCTCCTTGGATTTTCCAGCTTTGTCCCGTCATTGATGTTGTCCTTGGTCTCGTCAATGATGAGCTGGGATTCGTGAATGGTAAGTTTTTTTGCTTGCAATTTGGTCTTTCTTGGGTGCATCTACACTGCAGAGTGGATGAAGTTTGACATGATTTTCACTGACGTAGCTCTACCAGGATCCAACACTCTGCTTTGTATGATGGCTGCTTGGCCATAGAAGCATGGAGAGATGACTACCAACAAAAGCCCAAGAGATCTCTCTTTTTGATTTTCCTTGCAGCTATAGTCCCTCTTGGTTTGTTAGGAAGCATCCAGTACACCGTCTCCAGTCTTCCAATCATCACAGGACAGTTCCTGGAGATCGATTTAAATGTAAGTCTAGCTTTGCTGAGATGGGTCTTGCTATATCTACCATCCACAATCTACCTTCTAACAACACAAAGCAAAGAAAGATGGAATGAATCCTGGAATGCTAGAATGAAGGAAAGCAGACCAAGTTTCCATAAAGCGTAATTCCTCATGGCCGCAGAATGAGACCCAGAATTTAATTTACCTGCATCTGACAAAATATGTCCTCTTTTGGCATTTTCTAAGTCCACCAGGTAAGTTTAGATCAATGGTCCCATAGAAGCTTCTCCCTTACCTTGTGATTCTTTTGCCCTTTCCTTCTAGACCATAGTAGGGGCTGTGGCTGGGCCTCTCCTGGACTATCCGCTGGGCAAGCCAGAATCTGTCCCTTTGCCTGCAAGGGTGCCCATGCCTCCACTGCCACCGATGGATGAGACCACCAACTCCCAGCTGGGACTCTCCGTCAATTTCCTGAGAGCTGTCATTGCTCTCTTGCAGAAGCAAGGAGCTTTGGACATTGAAATATCTGATGGGATGGTGAGTTGAAGCCCAGGTCCTCAGTGGGCCAAACTTTGAGAATGCAGAGAATGCACAGAATATTTGAAAACTCAAAGATTCACCCTATTAAGAGCATATCAAGTGTATGAAAATCCCAATGTAGAGCTCCCTCCCCAAGATCCTTCTCCAAATTTTGCCATATGCACCAGTGTGATGTGCTTTGAACATGGGACTATGACTATGGAGACTAAGTTTGATTCCCAACTCAACCACAGAAACCAACTAGTTGACCTTGTGCAAGTCACACACCCTCAGCCTCAGAGGAAGGGAAAGGAAAAGAGGTTTCATAGGTTGGAAATGGCTTCAAGGCACACAACAACAGGATAAAATAGGATCAAAAGAGTTTCAAACCATGTGCATCAGCCTCTTGAGATAACTCAATGAGGCCCAACAGCTATAATGAATAGCCCATGGCATGGATCCCAAGGTCTTTTAAAGCTACAATTCCCAAGATTCCACAGCAGTGAGCCATGGGATTTAAAGTGGTGTCAAACTGCATTAACTCTACAGTGTGGATGCCACTCTACCAAAGCCAATTGTGATGAACTAGTTGGAGCACTGGGTCACAACTCTGGAGGCCAGGGTTCATTCCCTACTCAGCCCCAGAATATCCTGTGATAGGGCTGCATTATTCAGAAAGGACCTGTGGACACACAAGAACAACAACAATTCAGCATTGGATAATTTTGCATATCCATGGATATCTTTTGCATAACTTTCTTTTTCCATTTCCTAGTTCCCCGAGCTTCCTCCCCTGGTAACCTCAACTCTTGGTGCATTGATTCCTGCGGTAAGTGGACTCACTTGTCTCAGGCCCATCTACACTGTCATGTAATGGAGTTTGGAATTGTATCATGTAGTCAGTGTAGAATCATAGATTGCAGTTCAATGTGGTTGTGTGGCAGTGTAGATGGTGCCTCAGTCTGTGATTGAAGAATTCCATTTGTAGCCCCGCTGTGTACACATTCTAGGAGGGACATAATGGGGCAATGGTTTCTATGTGGAACTAGTAGGTCCGGGTTTGAACCCTGCTTAACCCTTGAAACCTCAGCCTTGGAGGAAGACAATAGAAACAGAGGTCCTCTGAACAAACCTTCGAAAGAAAGCCCTAGGAGAAGGTTATCATAGATCAGAGGCCTCTTGAAGGCACATAAGAACCAATGCCATGTGGCTGGCCAACTTTAGACAAAGGACTCACCACTAAAGTTCTAATCCATCATAGAATCCTAGAATTGGAAGAGACCACAAGGAACATCTGGTTCAAAACCATTCTGCTAGGCAGGAAGACAGAATCAAAGCACTCCCGACAGATAGCCACCCAGAGAAGGAGACTCCTTCCATGAAACTCCTAGGCAGCAGCATATTCTAATGTTAAAAGCTCTTACCATCAGGGTTCTTCCTAATGCTCCTAATGTTTTCCTGGAGTTTTAATCCATTGCTCCATTATGTCCTAGTCTAATGGAAAATAAGAGTTTCCCCATCCAAAATGTGACAGCCTTTCAAATATCTAATCATGGTTCTCATGTCCCTTCTGCTGTGCTGCTGTATCCCTCTGTTTCCAAATGGCCCCAAAACCTCAGGGTCTCTTTATCCAATCAAACACTGGAAGCAAGGATATCATTCAACAGGTTAGTTTGATCAAATCACCCTGCCGGGTGAACAAAAGAAAGTGCCACACAAAATTGAGATGCAGCTCAGTTTTATACTCAACACCTTTAGCAAGTGCACTGGCTATTTTCAGGCTATTTATTTCTATTTGTGTCTTATTTCTATCTGTTCTGTTTGTTCCCTTCTGGTGCTAGCTCTTATCAATATTACTGTGTTGCTTTTTTTTCCGCAGCCAATTCCCCCTACTGCATCTCTCCACTCCTGATCCTGCTTGTCATGAATATATGATATATAAGTTCTTGTGGGTTTTTTCGGGCTATATGGCCATGTTCTAGAGAAATGCCTCTAGAACATGGCCATATGACCCGAAAAAACCCACAAGAACTTAGTGATTCCAGCCATGAAAGCCTTCAACAATACATATGATATATAGTTTGAATGAAATTATGTGAAAGGTGTATGGTTGGGATCTACATAATCTGGAGATGTCATCCTAAGAAATGAAGCCTGAAAAATTACAAAAGGAAAATTCATGTTAATTAAATGTTGCCAATGAGAACTGCTGACATTGATGACCAGAGACAAACGATTAACTCTTGGTGGAAAACAGCATGTTTACATTACCAGAGACAATGACTCTTTTAAGAAGGAAGTAAACAATGCTCCTTAAAAAAGCAAAGCCAACATCCAGAAACTGATGGAGCTTGTATGTTTTGGCTGGAAAAAACACCTGTCAGTCATTTACAAAGACAATTAGGACCTCAACAAGAAATATTGCTATATAAGAGACACTTTATTATTCCAAAATTGTGGCAGACCAGAGGAGTCTGGTCCATCCACTGCTCTTCTCCAGGGGACGGAGGAAGATGGTGTATTCACAGAATTGCAGATTTGCTGAAAACACAATCTGTCCTATGTGCAGGTCTCTCTTCCAGGAGAAAGAAGAAGAGATGGTGATGTATGAATGTAGAAGTGAATGTATATGTGTGTGAATGTCAAGTAAAATGTAATATCTCTTTGTTTGTTTACCCAATGTAGCTATAAGTCTGTGTGTCTATTTTCTTTCTCTGTATTGCTCGGTGGTATACTGTCTCAGTGTGAACTAAATAAAATAACCTTTTAAATGCTTTTTAGAGTTTAAAAATTATTCATGACACGCATTTCCCTTTTGAACTTTCCCCTTGTCTGAACATTCTGCTTTGCTAGTTATTTCTGTTACAGTAAGTCGTAACAGGATCTAGTATGTGTGTGTGTTAAAGTAAACCTTATGCTGTTAATTATTATGTGCAGTTGCTAATGTAGGTCAACTAGTAAGTTTGGACCATACCCGGTGGAGTATAAGTGTATGGTTTTTAGAATACAGTTCAGCTTTTGCTCTGAGGAACCTTTGCTCAGGCATTTTGCTCAACCATTTCTACTGCTTTCTCATTTGGATGAAGATGCCTTATTCTGTATTGCTTACAAGGACGATGTAAGTTTGTTGCACTGTGTGTAACATTGCAAGTTTATGTTTTAACTCTGCTGATAAGTTTTTCTGTTCTTTTCCTCTTGCCTGGGTGTTATTGTTATTGTGTCTTCCATGTTATTGTGTCTTCTGCATTGGACTTGACTGAAATATGCTTAGCACAACAATTTTCCACTACTACCACAGACCTAGTCCCTTCAAGCCTTCTCTTTTTCAAGCTAAGCATGCCTGTAGTGACAGTATTGTTCCTTGGTGACACCCTCAGGTTTTCCCGAAGTTCCCAGAGCCCCGTCCTCTGCTTCTGAAGGTGACGGTCGCTGAGGTCCCCTCCGTGAAGCTGCAGAAAGACAAGGGCCTGATCCAGCTCAAAGCTACTGCAGAAGTCCTGGCCTCCAGGACAAATGATGAGTACCAGTCTCTCTGTGTCCTAAACATTGTGAGTATGCGGAGGAATAGGACTTTTGTTTTATTACTTTTTCCATTGCACGGCACTGTAGAATTAATGCCATTTGACATCACTTTAACTGGCACAGAAAAGGCTAAAGAACATGTAAAGCTACAACTCCCTGAATTCCATAGCACTGAGCCATGGCAATTGGTGTCAAACAGCATTAATGTAGATATATTCATAGTGGGAGGAGCAGAATACTTTGTGAAGTTTGGTGGGCCATGTAGGTCTGCTTGATAAAATGCAATGTTTGGATGCACCAATTCCTGCTCTTTTTTCCGCTGTAGGATTGTTCTTTGCTGGCCATGTTTTCTGTTGAAGACAACAAGCTGAAAATAAAAGTCAGTCTTGACAAGTAAGTCTTAATGTATTGTCGAATGCTTTTATGGCCGGAATCACTGGGTTGTTGTAGGTTTTTTAGGCTATATGGCCATGGTCTAGAGGCATTCTCTCCTGACGTTTCGCCTGCATCTCTGGCAAGCATCCTCAGAGGTAGTGATGAAAAGGTATCTCAGAAGTACCTAAGGTACCTCTGAGGATGCTTGCCATAGATGCAGGTGAAACTTCAGGAGAGAATCCCTCTAGACCATGGCCATATAGCCCGAAAAAAATCTACAACAACCCAAAGTATGTCTTAATTTGAAAATCTTAATTGAAATGATTGGCAGAGCCAATGGAGAATTGCCCTGACTTTTTATTACAAGTGCAATGGCCAAGTTTAATAGCTATGCCCATGAACAAATTATCTGCTTTGAACTGGATTATATTTATTTATTTATTTATTTATTTATTTATTTATTTATTTATTATTCAAACTTAAATGCCACCACTCCCCTGGGGCTCGGAGCGGCTTACAATATGGCAATATAGACTCCAATAACCCACTTCAAAGCAGAGAATGTGGATTATTTGGATTATAATGGATTAATGGATTTTACAGCAGTGTAGAAGGGGCCGTAGAGATAGAATTGTTCTACGTGAATTTTCATGCAAAATGAATTCTTGGAGAGGGCTGGAAATGTAGCTGTTTCAACCTTAAAACAGTGTTTTGAACAGAAGCTGTGTGGTCATCTTTTGGGGAGGCTTTTATTGCACATTCCTGTATGGTAGATTGAGGTTGGTTTGGATGGTCTCTTGGAGTATCCCCAGCTCTATGATTCCATAATATTATGTTGGAAGGTCTTTTCTATATCCTTCTGCATATATAGAAATATGAGAGGAGATGGATAGCAATCTTCATATTCATGGGTTAGGCAAAAGAAATGAAACACAGAGATATGGGATGGTTGGCACCTGGCTTGGAAACAATCCATGTGAAAGAGATTTGGGAGTCTTAATGGAACATGAGTCAAGACTGTGATGCAACAGTTTAAAAGGCCAATGCAATTCTAGGCTGAATCAAGAGGAGTCAATGGTCTACTAGATTGTGGAAAGTCCTCACTTGGAATAATAGCCTTGTGTCCAGTTCTGGACCAAGCAATTCAAGGAGGAGATGGACAAGATGGAAGGTGTCCAAAGAGGAATGGACAACATGGTCAAAGGATTGGAAGCCAAGTCCTCTGAGGAATGGCATAGGGAGCTAGATATGTTTAGCTTGGAGGAGAGAAGTCTGAGAGAAGAGGACACAAAAACCATGCTTTAAGCACTTAAAAGGAGGTCATATTGAGGAGGTAAACATTAGGAAGAACTGCTAGGAATCCTGTGGAATCTCCTTCTCTGGAGGCTTTGAAAGAGAGTCTGACTGGCCATCTGTCGGCAAGGTTTTGATTGTGCTTTTCCTGCCTGGCAGATTGGGGTTGGGGTGGATGGCCCTTGGGGTCTCTTCCAACTCTAGGATTCTATGATTGTAGATTCTCTAGTTTTTCTAATGGTTGTTTGTTTGCTTCTGCAGGACCCATCTCTCCCTGGCATCTTCAAACCTTGGGAAATTTGATGTAAGAAAGAAACCACCGTGGTGGGGTTTGTAGGGGGGCAAATAATAAACAAAACACAAAACCCTGCTGGGTAGGTACGTGAATTAACTCCTCCTTCTCACATCCTCTCTGTGCTGTGCATTGGACTGATTGTCTCAAGGCAAGCAGGTAGATCCAACCAAAACACTGCAGAGTCCTTATTTGTAGTTAGCAGAGATTTATAACACAGCCTTTGACCTTGTTTGCTCCTCACTGCTTTAATAAGCACACTTGAACTCTAGCTGTCATCCAAATTTCTTTGGAGGGATTACATCTTCATTCATTGCCTTAGCTGCCCTGAGTCCCTTCGGGAAGAGGGGGCATGATACAAATAAAGCCTATTATTATTATTATTATTATTATTATTATTATTATTATTATTATTATTATTTACAATTATTTACAACTATTTACACATCTGTTCTGCTCTTGTTATATGCGGACATAAACTTACAGCAACACAACAAGAAGCAATGACTATGGCAAAACACACACATGACAAAGGATCATCATGGCAAGGAAACTGCATGGCAAGGGAGCATGCACATGTCTGTCACTTACCTTTGAACCCATAGGAACCACAGGAAATAATACAATTCTCATTATGGCTGTCATATAGGAGAACAAGCCCTATGAGGAGCGGCTTAAGGAGCTGGGCATGGTTAGCCTGAAGAAGAGAAGGCTGAGAGGAGATATGATAGCCATGTATAAATATGTGAGAGGAAGCCAGGGAGGAGGGAGCAAGCTTGTTTTCTGCTTCCTTGGAGACTAGGACGCGGAACAATGGCTTCAAACTACAAGAGAGGAGATTCCATCTGAACATGAGAAGAACTTCCTGACTGTGAGAGCCGTTCAGCAGTGGAACTCTCTGCCCGAGTGTGGTGGAGGCTCCTTCTTTGGAAGCTTTTAAACAGAGGCTGGATGGCCATCTGTCAGGGGTGATTTGAATGCAACATTCCTGCTTCTTGGCAGAATGGGGTTGGACTGGATTGCCCATGAGGTCTCTTCCAATTCTTTGATTCTATGATTCTATATGGTCATGGCTCAATGGAATCATCCCCACTTGTTTAACTTTTTGGTGGAATGTTCTGTGACCACGTGTCCATTAGAACTGTATTTTCCATACACTGGAGTTACAGACAATGCATTTCTATTTAACATGGCATTATCTACCTAACAGAGTTGAGGGCTGAAAGTGATCAATATCACTCAGCTTATTCCATCTGCTGCACCTCATGCCTAGGAAATGGCTAATGGTATAAACCAGTAACCGTCAAGGCACTTATGGCATTGTGTGCAGATGGATAGAGAGCCAATGCGATGCAATGCAATGATTAGAGCACTGGATTACAACTCTGTGAAACAGGGTTTGAATCTGTGCTCGACCATAGAAACCCCTTGGGGGGCCTTGGGTGAGTCACACAACCCCAGAAAACCCACTACGCTATGTAACAAAATTTGAAAAATGTTCTGTTCTAAGTTTGAAAGGGTTATTTCCCTTTTTGATAGTGTGTTCCTTACTTTGAAAAAAGGTATTACACTCCAGAAACTTTGTTTGTGAGCCACAAACTATGTTGGATTTGTTGAGACTCAACCTCCTCCAAAGACAAAGTTTTTGCAGTTTAATAAACTTTTTCCATGTTTTTATGATAGAAGCAATTAGGAAATGACATTTAAAATTTGGTTTATTTCATTTTTATTTAAAATATTTAAAGTATTTTTTTCAGAGGATTTTTGCCAGTTGCTTCAGTTTCAGATTTTAAAGATGTAGTTAAACACATTGGATTATACCTGGATTGGATACCTGGGTTATTTTTTTCAGTTTTGGCCAAGACAGAGACAATAAATCCCTTTTCTTTCCCCTTCAGGTCAAGCTGATGGAGGGACTGGTGGACAAGATCATTGACATTGCCTTCCTTCCTGCAATGAACAGTAAGATATTCATTGAATAAGGAGAACAAAATGTACCGCAGGATGTCCCACAAGGACAAAGGTTTGGCAGCTTAAAGTAGTTTTTCCAAGTTTTCATAATAGAACCTATTAGAAAATGACATTTATTACCCAGGACAAAAATCATGTTGTTGTTGTTGTTCATTTGTTCAGTCGCTTCTGACTCTTCGTGACCTCATGGACCAGTCCACACCAGAGCTCCATGTTGGCCGTCACCACCCCCAGCTCCTTCAAGGTCAATCCAGTCACTTTAAGGATGCCATCCATCCATCTTGTCCTTGCTTGGCCCCTCTTCCTTTTTCCTTCCATTTTCCCCAGCATCATTGTCTTCTCCAAGCTTTCCTGTCTTCTCATGATGTGGCCAAAGTACTTCATCTTTGCCTCTACTATCCTTCCTCCAATGAGCAGTCAGGCTTCATTTCCTGGAGGTTGAACTGGTTGGATCTTCTCGCAGTCCAAGGCACTCTCAGAACCTTCCTCCAGCACCACAGTTCAAAAGCGCCTCTCTTCCTTCGCTCAGCCTTCCTTATGGTCCAGCTCTCACATCAATAGATTACTACTGGGAATACCATTGCTTTAACTATGTGGATCTTAGATGATCTTAAGGTCCTTGATGCTTCATAGGGGGAGACACGTTCAGACAGGTAAACTGGACCACAGCCAAGTTTCTGGCTTTCCAGTTTTCCAGTGGGATTGGAGATATAATGCCCTTTTTTTCTTCCCAACTGCAGGCATCTTAGGTGGAGGCATTCCTTTGCCCAAGCTGCTGGACACAGACTTCAACAACGCAGACATTGATGTCATTGAAGTAAGTCCCAATGCCTTTGATGTATAGTTCAGTGATGTGCCAACCCAGCAAACTATACATTACTTATTGTACTGAAATACTTTTAATGTAAGCCACTTTGAGTCTCCTGTGGAGAGACTAAGCAGAGTAAACATAAACATAACAACAACAACAACTCTTTTTGGCAGAGAAGGCTAAAGAGTGACCTTGTAAACTGTTCCGTCTCCCAGGAGCCTGGTTTGCCCTACCTTTCAGCTGTTTGAGGCTGCTTCCTTTTGTACTTTGTCCCAGGGCTGATGCAGTTTGCAAGAGTCCTAAAGGTTAATAGTAGCAGGTTTGCAAAGCCAGTCTGCAGGCCTCCTTTGCAGTTATTGGCCCAGAGAGTAACTTTTGAGCCCACCCCTTTTACCAGGCCAGACCTCCATTTTGGAGTCCTCCTTGCCTGTTCAGTTCTGAAGAAGGAATCTGATGTGCTGGAGGCCAGAAAGATAGCTCCGACAAACCACTGCAAAAACAATTGAGAATAGAGAATTGAGATATTATAGTTTTGTTGTTCATTCGTTCAGTCGTCTCCGACTCTTTGTGACCTCATGGACCAGCCCACGCCAGAGCTCCCTGTTGGCCGTCACCACCCCTAGCTCCTTCAAGGTCAGTCCAGTCACTTCAAGGATGCCATCCATCCATCTCGCCCTTGGTTGGCCCCTCTTATATAGTTATTATAGTTTATTATAGTTAAGCTTAGTTGAGTTATAGACAGGTTTTAAGAAGAATTGAGCTATAGTTAGATTATAAGACAGTTATAGAGTGTAAAGAAGAATAGATATTGAGCTTTGAGAATTGAGTTTTACAGAGTCTTAGAGAGAGAGAGACTGCATTGCCTTATCTCCAAGGCTAATCTGGAGCTTAGATAGATAGGGAAAGATTTGTTCTTTCTAAAAGACAACAGCTCTGGATTAGGGTGAAGGATCCCTGGATCCCTTTGCCACTTGGGGAAAGGCTGACTCAGTAACTGGTGGAGAAGAGAAAGAAGAAATATCTATTTGGTTCATCAATTGACTGTTCTGTTTGCAACTTTGAGAAATAAATATCCTTTTTGATGTTCAGAACTTGTAACAGACTCAGTTACTGAGAATCTCAATCTTCTCAAGAAAAGCACTGGCAGTTCGCCCAGACATAGGGAACAGCACATCACAGTTTTGTTTTTATAAAAGCATCTGGGTGTAACGGCATATAAACTACAACTCCCATGACTGCATAAGACTGAGCCATGGCAGTTAAAGCGATGTCAAAGTGCATTTTTTGCATTGTAGATGCTCCTTAAGTGAGGACAATTTTCAACCTCTCGCTTTCTACAATGCTTGAAATGTGAAGACTGAACTAAAATGTCATTTGAGAAAGCAAAATTGCTTTTTGAATGACTATACCCTCATATCCCCCTCCCCCACTTTTAAAAACACTAGATCATCAAATTGATATGGGATCAAGCTTTTAAAATGAAACCCTCTTGATTCTTTTTATTTGTTTATTTTGCAAGGATCTGCTTGTCTTGTCTGCATGAGGCATTGAGAAGAGGTTCAAAGAAGATCACGGAGACCCTTGGAAGAAGACTCACATCTCCACTTCACTTGTCAATCCAAATAGATTCAAATGAGACATGATTAATTTGGGGTGAACCTGGACTTTGTTTTGGATGCTGGCGGTTTCAGACTTTGCTCCTGGCATGTTAAGTTCTTGGTCCACTTTTGCTGTAAGCTTGTTGCTTTGAAGAGAGCATGTGTGCATAAGCATTGAACGTGTGCATGCAAGCTTATGACTTTTCCTGCATGGTTCCTTTTAAATAAAAGTTTCTGATTGTCCACTGCATTTCTGGAATGATTTGAATGCCTTCTAATGCAGCAGCACGTCACAGAATAATTGAATCGGAGAGTTAGAAAAGCCATATAATTCTGCTTTGTAGAAAGACACCATCCATGCCCTCCTCACAAATGGTCATCTAACCTCTGTTTAAGAAATTTCAGAGAAGGAAATTCCATAAAACTCTGATTCCAAAACTATTAATGTCAGGAAGGATCCCTGCAGAGGCCATCTAGTCCAACCCCAGCTCATCTCAGTTCAACAACTCCAGCTAAAGCAACCCTATCAGGGAGCTGTCCAGCCTTATTTTGCAGATATTCAAGACTGTTCCTTCCTTTCTATTAGAGTTGTGCTTCTGGGATAAACCTTGACCTAGGCTATTGTAGGTTTTTTGTGGGCTGTCTGGCCATGTTCTAGAAGCATTCCCTCCTGAGGTTTCGCTTGCATATATAGCAGGCATCCTCGGAGATTGTGAGGACCTCACAACCTCTGAGGATGCCTTTTGTAGATGTAGGCAAAACCTCAGGAGAGAATGCTTCTAGAACATAGCCAGACAGCCCGGAAAACTCCTAGCAACCTAGAGATTCCAGCCATGAAAGCCTTCGACAAAACCTTGACCTGTTTCATGTCCTGGCTTTCAGTGGGGGGCCCAATCCATTTTTTGGGAGCCTCCCAAAATCAGGAGTGCAGATGTCTGTTTTCATTTTGGGGTGCCAAAAGATCCATTTTCTATTGGCCCATTATGGGGTGGGGAGGGCTTCCCAGGTTCCCCTTCCCCTCATTTTAGGCACAGAAGCTCTTTTACTCTAGAGAGACACTCAACTGCAGGTTGACACGAGCTTTAAGGAGGCTTCTTACCTGTTTCTACTCTAGAGGATAGAAGCTCGGCTACAGACAGGTGACCACACTTTCTGGGCCTGCACATCATACACGCACACACTCACTTTCCAAGGCAAGGAGGCAACAGGCAAGTTCTCATTCTTACTCTAGAGAAGAGGCACTTGGCTGCAGGCAGGCACACACATTTTCTGAGCCTGTACACCACACATGCACACATGCACTCTCTTTCCAAGGCAAGGAGGCAAGTTCTCATTCCAAGGAAGCACTCGGCTGCAGGCATGCTTTCTGGGCCTGCACACCACACACACACACTTTCCAAGGCAAGGAGGCAAGTTCTGTTTTTTACTCTAGAGGAGGTTCTTGGTTGCAGGCAGGTTTGCTGATGTTTTGTGGGCCTGCACGCCACAGTCACACTCTTTCCAAGGCAAGGAGGCAACAGGCAAGTTTTCATTCTTTCTTTAGAGAAGGGGATACTTGGCGGCAGGCAGGCATGCACACTTTCTGGGCCTGTACACCACACACGCACACATGCATTCTCTTTCCAAGGCAAGGAAGCAAGTTCTCATTTATACTCTAGAGGAGACACTCATCTGCACATTGCACACACACTCTTTCCAAGGCAAGGAGGCAAGTTCTCATTTATACTCTAGAGGAGACACTCATCTGCACATTGCACACACACTCTTTCCAAGGCAAGGAAGCAAGTTCTCATTTATACTCTAGAGGAGACACTCATCTGCACATTGCACACACACTCTTTCCAAGGCAAGGAAGCAAGTTCTCATTTATACTCTAGAGGAGACACTCATCTGCACATTGCACACACACTCTTTCCAAGGCAAGGAAGCAAGTTCTCATTTATACTCTAGAGGAGACACTCATCTGCACATTGCAGACACACTCTTTCCAAGGCAAGGAAGCAAGTTCTCATTTATACTCTAGAGGAGACACTCATCTGCACATTGCAGACACACTCTTTCCAAGGCAAGGAAGCAAGTTCTCATTTATACTCTAGAGGAGACACTCATCTGCACATTGCAGACACACTCTTTCCAAGGCAAGGAAGCAAGTTCTCATTTATACTCTAGAGGAGACACTCATCTGCACATTGCACACACACTCTTTCCAAGGCAAGGAAGCAAGTTCTCATTTATACTCTAGAGGAGACACTCATCTGCACATTGCACACACACTCTTTCCAAGGCAAGGAAGCAAGTTCTCATTTATACTCTAGAGGAGACACTCATCTGCACATTGCAGACACACTCTTTCCAAGGCAAGGAAGCAAGTTCTCATTTATACTCTAGAGGAGACACTCATCTGCACATTGCAGACACACTCTTTCCAAGGCAAGGAAGCAAGTTCTCATTTATACTCTAGAGGAGACACTCATCTGCACATTGCACACACACTCTTTCCAAGGCAAGGAGGCAAGTTCTCATTTATACTCTAGAGGAGACACTCATCTGCACATTGCACACACACTCTTTCCAAGGCAAGGAAGCAAGTTCTCATTTATACTCTAGAGGAGACACTCATCTGCACATTGCACACACACTCTTTCCAAGGCAAGGAAGCAAGTTCTCATTTATACTCTAGAGGAGACACTCATCTGCACATTGCAGACACACTCTTTCCAAGGCAAGGAAGCAAGTTCTCATTTATACTCTAGAGGAGACACTCATCTGCACATTGCACACACACTCTTTCCAAGGCAAGGAAGCAAGTTCTCATTTATACTCTAGAGGAGACACTCATCTGCACATTGCACACACACTCTTTCCAAGGCAAGGAAGCAAGTTCTCATTTATACTCTAGAGGAGACACTCATCTGCACATTGCACACACACTCTTTCCAAGGCAAGGAAGCAAGTTCTCATTTATACTCTAGAGGAGACACTCATCTGCAGACAGGCGCACATGCTTTGTGGACCGCACGCCACATGCTTTGTGGACCTTGCACTCTTTCCAAGGCAAGGAGGCAACAGGCAAATTCTCATTCTTACTCTAGCGGAGGCGCTTGGCTGCAGGCAGGCCTGTGTACTTTCTGGGCCTGCATGCCACACACACACAAACACTCTCTTTCCAAGGCAAGGAGGCATGTACCACCACGTGCTCATGATAAGCAGGTGAGGAGCCAGGATCAGCTCCTGCTTGCTTTTGTGTCGAGCTGATTTTTGTACCTGGAGGGGCCTTCATGTTACGTGCTTCTGAAGGTAATGAAAGTAACAATGGATGAAACAAACGAAATTGATTCCACACAAAACTCTACTTTCTTTGGTTGTGGTATTTAAAGAGAGACAAAATATATAACTTTCCAGTCTTCTCTTCTCTTGAGGTCACCATAAGACAGTGGTTCTCAACCTTCCTCATGCTGCGACCCCTTAAGACAATTCCACATGTTGTGGTGACCCCAACCATAAAATTATTTTCCTTCCTACTTTATAACTGTCATTTTGCTACTGCTATCAATTGTAAATATCTGATATGCAGGATGTATTTTCATTCACTGGACCAAATTTGCCACAAATACCCTATACGCCCAGATTTGAATACTGGTGGGGTTGGGGGGAGTTGATTTTGTCATTTGGGAGTTGTGGTTGCTGGGATTTATAGTTCACCTGCAATCAAGGAGCATTCTGAACCCCACCAACTATGGAATTAAACCAGTCTTGGCACACAGAACTCCCATGATCAAGAGAAAATACTGGAAGGGTTTGGTGGGCATTGACGTTGAGTTTTGGAGTTGTAGTTTGCCTACATCCAAAGAGCTCTGTGGAATCAAACAATGATGGATCTGGACTAAACTTGGCACGAATACTCAATATGCCCAAATGTGAACACTGGTGGAGTTTGGGGAAAATAGACCTTGATATTTTGGGAGTTGTAGTTGCTGGGATTTATAGTTCACCTACAATCAAAGAGCATTCTGAACCCCACAAATGACAAAATTGGGCCAAACTTCCCACATAGAACCCCCATGACCAACAGAAACTGCTGTGTTTTCTGATGGTCTTTAGTGACCCCTCTGACACTCCTTCGTGACCCCTCCAGGGGTCCCGACCCCCAGGTTGAGAACCACTGCCATAAGACAATATGAAGTAAGCAGACATTTCATGTAATGGGTTGTTGTAGGTTTTTCGGGCTCTATGGCCATGTTCTAGAAGCATTCTCTCCTGATGTTTCACCTGCATCTATGGCAGGCATCCTCAGAGATTGTGAGTCATAGATGCAGGCGAAACGTCAGGAGAGAGTGCTTCTGGAACATGGCCATACAGCCCGAAAAACCTACACCAACCTAGTGATTCTAGCCATGAAAGCCTTCGACAATACATTTCATGTAATGCTGTCGTTCCCAGGAAAAAGCATTAGAGGGCAGTCGAAGCCTTGCTATTTTTGTGCTCTTCCCAATTACACTATGGAACATGATATTTGTTCCTGTGTTACAAATGTCATTTCTTAATTGGTTCTATCATTAAAACATGGGGAAAATTTATTAAACTGCAAAAACGTTGTTTTGGAGGGACATCCTGCAGCACATTTTGCTCTAGTATTTCATTGACTATCTCATTGAGTTTCAACCAATTCAACCTAGTTTGTGGCAGCCACAAAAACAAAGTTTCTGGAGTAGAACAACTACTTTCAAAGTAAGGACCACACAATTAATCAGGAAATAAGACTTTCAAATCAAGAACGGATTTTTTTGCCCCCAATTTTGTTACATTTAATGATATAGTGCTTGCGCAATATCTCACACAGTAAATACATACTTCACAGAAAACAATTATTTGAACTGATTCTCATGCGCTTTGGGACATGTCTGATAAGAGTCAGTACATTCATTTGATTTGTTTAATTAAAGTAATTGCTTGTCAGAACAAAGTTGGGTTATGACTCTTTTGAAACCAAGGAGTTTATTTAAGATTAAAGTCATCAGAGGCAGAGATTTCGCTCTCAATGGGAAACGGAGGCCATCCAGTAACAAAGCAAGGGAGGAGTGAAGAAAGAGGGGTTTTTACTACTTGCAAGAGCTTATTACAATTAGACATAGCGTGCATCTACACCAGGCATGGGCAAACTTGGGTCCTCCAGGTGTTTTGGACTTCAATTCCCATAATTCCTAACAGCCGGTACAACAGGGAACAATAAGAGTTTGGAATGAAGAGGAGAAGGAGAAGGAGAGAGAAAAAAGAGGAAAGGGGGAAGGGAGAAAGAAGAAGAAGAGAGAAGAGAAAAAAAGGAGAAGAGAGAAGAGGAGGAGGAGAAAAAGTAAAAGAAAGAAGGGAGGAAAGGAGGAGAAGAGAAAAGAAGAAAGAGGAAGGGTGGAAAGGAGGAAGGGAGGAGGAGGAGGAAGAGGAAGGAAAGAAGAAGAGGAAGAAGGAGGAGAAGGAGGAAAGAAAAGGAAAGAAGGAGAGAGGAAGGGAGGAAGAGAAAAGAAAGATGAAAGAAGGGAGAGAGGAAAGAAAGAAAGGGAAGAAGAAGAGAATGAAAGAAGAAGGAGAAATAGAAAAAGAGAAAGAAGAAAGTAATAAGGAGGCAAAGGAGAAAGGTTAATAAGGGAGAAAGAAAAAGGAAAGGAGAAGGAAGGAAGAAGAGAAAGGAAGAGAAAGGAGGAAGAAAAAAGAAAAGAGAAAGAAAGGGAAGAAAGTGGTGAGAAAAGGAGAGAAGATGAATACAAAGAGGATTTTATTTCTTCGTATCAGGGCAACCAGTCAATTATATTACATTTCTAACAGAACAAAGCAAACAAACAGACAGAATACAAAATTTGTGAGTTTGGTAGTTGATTAAATGTCCTTTGACCAGTATCTGGCCACTTGGAGTGCTTCTGGTGTTGCTGCAAGAAGGTCCTCCATTGTGCATGTGGCAGGGCTCAGGTTGCATTGCAGCAGGTGGTCAGTGGTTTGCTCTTCTCTGCACTCACATGTCGTGGATTCCACTTTGTGGCCCCATTTCTTAAGATTGGCTCTGCATCTCGTGGTGCCAGAGCGCAGTCTGTTCAGTCGCCTAGTCCTCTGTGTGCCCAGGAGGGAGTCTCTCATTCGGTATCAGCCATTGATTGAGGTTCTGGGTTTGGGCCTGCCACTTTTGGACTCTCGCTTGCTGAGGTGTTCCAGCGAGTGTCTCTGTAGATCTTAGAAAACTTTCTTGATTTAAGTCGTTTGACGTGCTGGCTGATACCCAAACAGGGGATGAGCTGGAGATGTCTCTGCCTTGGTCCTTTCACTATTGGCTGCTACTTCCCGGCGGATGTCAGGTGGTGCAATACCGGCCAAACAGTGTAATTTCTCCAGTGGTGTAGGGTGCAGAAGAAAGTAATAAGGAGGCAAAGGTCAATAAGGGAGAAAAGAAAATGAAAGGAGAAGAACGGAAGAAGGAGAAAGGAAGAAAAAGGAGGAAAAAGGAAAGAAAAGGAAGAATGGAGAAAAAGGAGAGAAGGTAAGAAAGAGGAGAAAGAAGAAGGAAGGAAGGAAGGAAGGAAGGAAGGAAGGAAGGAAGGAGAAGGAAGGAAGGAAGAGGAAGGAAGGAGGTGGTGAAGGTGGCAGGGGTGCCAGGCAGATGGACAGAGAGATATACTAGTATGAACTATGATGGAAAGCCAGAAATATCCATGTGGATTGATAGTGTACAATCGATTGCATATGTGCTGGCTTTCCAAACAAGCCAAGGAAGTGTGGGGACTCAAACTACCATTCCTAGATGTAGTCTAATGCTCAAATCAGTAAACAGTGGAGGCTACAAACACAGCAGCCCTATCAACCCCCTATCAAGGGTTTTTACTTGGCAAGATTGGTTCAGAAGGGGTTTGCCATTGCCTTCCTCTGAGACTGAGAGAGTAGGACTTGCCCAAGATCATTCAATGGTTTCTACAGCAAATGATGACTTCAACCCTGGTCTATGGGGTCATAGCCATTGCCTGTGCTCAAACCACTACATCAGTGGTTCTCAACCTTCCCAATGCTGCGACCCCTTAATACAGTTCCTCAGGTTTTGGTGCCCCCCAACCATTATATTATTTTTGTTGCTACTTCATAACTGTAATTTTGCTACTGTTCTGAATCATCATGTAAATATCTGATATGCAAGCTGTATTTTCATTCACTGGACCAATTTTGGCACAAATACCCAATGGGCCCAAATTTGAATACTGGTGGGATTTGGGGGGAGATTGATTTTGTCATTTGAGAGTTGTAGTTGCTGGGATTTATAGTTCACCTACAATCAAAGATCATTCTGAATTCCACCAACGATGGAACTGAACCAAACTTGGCACACAGGACTCCAATGACCAACTGGAAGGGTTTGCTGGGCATTGACCTTGAATTTTGGAGTTGTAGTTCATCTATATCCAGAGAGCACTGTGGACTCAAACAATGATGGATCTGGACCAAACTTGGCACAAATACTCAATATGCTCAAATGTGAACACTGGTGGAGTTTGGGGAAAATAGACATTTGGGAGTTGTAGTTGCTGGGATTTATAGTTCACCTACAATCAAAGAGCATTCTGAACCCCACAAATGATAGAATTGGGCCAAACTTCCCACACAGAACCCCATGACCAACAGAAAATACTGTGTTTTCTGATGATCTTTGGTGACCCCTCTGACACCCCCTTGCGACCCCCACAGGGGTCCTGACCCCCAGGTTGTCAAACCTCTACATCCTGCTGTTGAATTGTATTTTCTCATCTTCCGAGGGGCAGGGAAAAATCTTTCTAAATGTCATCGTTTCGTTCCCTTCCATTTCCCCCGAAATGGGCTCTTGGCCGAGATATATAAGAGCTCGGAAGGAGGAGATAAGGAAAGCCCCGGAGAGCTATTTGCAAACATCAAAGCACCTCAGGTAAGAGCGTTAAGACTCCTGATTTCTCTTCTTTCTCCTTCTCCACCTCTCTGCCAAATAGAGTTTTGCTTGGAAAGAGTAAGCCGGGCAGAGAATTGCACTTTTCTTCAAATATCTAAATTGAATCTATGGGACTGAATTGATATTCCAACCGGCTCCAAAGGTCTGATGGCTGGAGGCAGCGTTCCTCCCAGACTCACCGAACTTGGGTTGCGAAGTGTGTTTGGAGCATGGTGCAAGGAGCAAAATGAAGATAAATGACCTTCAACAAGTCAACAAATACACACACACATACACACACTCCTTTTTAATACTCTAAGCAGATGACAGATGGAAATGTCATACAGTTCTGGGTGTGAATTTATTGAAACAGCAATCTGATATTGAAATAGAATCACATATTCATATGTTTTTTGGGAGAAAATTGGGGTTGAGGTCCCATTCATTGATCTCAACTATAAACTGTTGTGTGCCTCCAAGTTGTTTCCAACTTAAGACAGTCCAGTGAAGAAATCTGAACTTATAGCAAATTGGTGATGGAGTGTTCTGCAAAGACTGTGGGCTATTCCAAAAACAAAGAAATGTATCCTGGAGCAAACCAATCCTGGAGCAACTCTACACAAAAGCATCCTTTAGGCACATCAAAAGAAGACAGGACTCTTTGGAAAAGCTAACCCTACTTGGAAAGGTGGAGAGCAAAAGGAAAAGAGGAAGACCTCATTCCAGATGGAGAGGCTCAACCAAGGAAGCCGTGGCTGCTCTGACTTTGCAAGACCTGTTGAGGACAGTGTGACTTGGGGGTCTCTCATTCAAGGAGAAGCTATTGAAGTCATCTTGAAGGCAACTAAGAATATCAACAACTGGGTTGGTTTGTATCTCTGCAGCACAGCAAGAGTTTGTAGATAATATACAATGTTTGAGACTCCAACTCCCAGAAGTTCTAGCCAGCTTGCCCAGTGGTCAAAAATTCTGGGAGCTGAAGTCCAAAACATTTGGAAGACCAAAGGTTGGATACCACTGCTGGTGTAAATCACAGCCAATGTTTCTACTTTTTGGATGGAACAGCTACTACTATAACTTCTATTCATATATAGTGGTGGAGGCTCCTTCTTTGGAAGTTTTTAAACAGAGACTAGATGGCCATCTGTCAGGGGTGCTTTGAATGCAATATTCCTGCTTCTTGGCAGGAGGTTGGACTGGATGGCCCATGAGGTCTCTTCCAACTCTATGATTCTATGATAGCAAACCTTTTCTACAATGTTGGGTCCCAAAGTGGCTTTGTTGCTGTTGTTTTTTTGCTGTCAAGTTGACTCAGAATTGGGGGTGAAAGATCATAGAATCATAGAATCAAAGAGTTGGAAGAGACCTCCTGGGCCATCCAGTCCAACCCCATTCTGCCAAGAAGCAGGAATATTGCATTCAAAGAACCCCTGACAGATGGCCATCCAGCCTCTGTTTAAAAGCTTCCAAAGAAGGAGCCTCCACCACACTCCCTCCGGGGCAGAGAGTTCCACTGCTGAACGGCTCTCACAGTCAGGAAGTTCTTCCTCGTGATCCATTCTTCCTTGTGATCCATCTCCAGATCCATTTGCCACCAAACCACCCTACTCAGGCTTTGCAGATTCAGGGCAGCGGTGGCTTCTTTAATGGAGACCATCGACCTGCAACAGCAGGTTTGAGCTTTAGACTAGAACTCAGCAGACCAAGTTTCAAATTCTCACTTGGCCATAGAAACCCACTGGGTCACACTCTCTCAGCTCCATAAAACCTCATGATAAGTTTGCCTTAGTTGACTTGATGGCAATAAGCAATGACAACAAAGGTGTTTTCAGAAAGGTTTGCCTTCACCTTTCTCTGATACTGAAAGTGTATGATTTGTTCATTGAGGGTCATCAAGTGGGATTCTTGGTTGACTGGAATTCAGACTTGGGTCTCCAGAGTCATAGGACACATCAACATTGTAGAATGAATGTAGTCTGATACATTAACAACATTAGCCTCCGAGGCTCAATGCTATGCAATCATGGGCACTGGAGTTATATAAGGTAGAATCATAGAACCATAGAATCATAGAGTTGGAAGAGACCTCATGGGCCATCCAGTCCAACCCCATTCTGCCAAGAAACAGGAATATTGCATTCAAATCACTCCCGACAGATGGCCATCCAGCCTCTCTTTAAGAGCTTCCTAAGAAGGAGCCTCCACCACACCCCGAGGCAGAGAGTTCCACTGCTGAATGGCTCTCACAGTCAGGTATTTAGTCTTCTCTGCCAAAAAGTGTTGGTGCCTCGACAAACAACATCTCCCAGGCTTCCATAGGAGTGAGCCACAACAGTTAAAGTGGTCTTCAGCTGCATTCGTTCTACAGTGCTTTTCCTTGCATGAAATGGACATGGGTTATTGCAGGTTTTTCCGAAGCTAAAGCTGGAAAATATCCAATAGATATTCTGTGCAGATATTCTACAACTTTGCAATTCTGTGAAGGTACAGGTGGAACGGTTCAAGATGCGGAGAAGCACTCGAAGGACAGATGTGTTTCGGTCAAAATCCTCACGTTTAAATTTCATGAAACTTGTTCACATTTAATGCAACTGCCACTAAAATTCAAAACATGGCCAAAGTGATTGGGGATTGCAAAGAGAAGAAAAAACCGAAGAGGAAAATAATGTGTGGAGTCTGTTAGTCCACAGTTTACATTCTTTCTTCTAAGGAATATACTATCCTGGGGTGCATCCATGTTAGAGAATGAATGCAGTTTGAGCCCACTCTAACTGCTGTGGCTCAAGGCTATGGAATCCTAGGAGTTGTGATTTGGTTAGGCACCAGAAAAAAAAAGGTTAAACGCCTTGCAAAACTACAACTCTTGTGATTCCATAGCCTTGAACCATGGCAGTTCCAATGTGTTCACATTATAACATAATTATTAATATGTAAAGCCATCAATAAAGAGTAGTAATTTTACACTTTTCAATAATAGCAAAACACAGATGTTGCACTTGAATGAAAACTTCCCCACCTTGCACCGAGATGGAATCTCACAATAATTTGTCCTATGAAGCAATGTATAATCATATATATGTATTATCGAAGGCTTTCATGGCTGGAATCACTGGGTTATTGTAGGTTTTTTCGGGCTATAGGGGCCATGTTCTAGGAGGCATTCTCTCCTGACGTTTCGCCTGCATCTATGGCAAGCATCCTCAGAGGTAGTGAGGTCTGTTGGAACTAGGAAAATAGGTTTATATATCTGTGGAATGACCAGGGTGGGACATTGGAACTGCCATGGTTCAAGGCTATGGAATCACGGGAGTTGTAGTTTTGCAAGGCGTTTAACCTTTTTTTCTGGTGCCTAACCAAATCACAACTCCTAGGATTCCATAGCCTTGAGCCATAGCAGTTAGAGTGGGCTCAAACTGCCTGGGAGTGCAATGGAATTCTCTCCTCTGAAGGTTTTTAAACAATGACTGGATGTCCATCTGCCAAGAGGACATTGTGTCTTCTTGCATGGCAAAAAGGGATAACCTGGATGACCTTCAGGGATCTCTTCCAGCTATAGTGACTCCACCTTCGTAACTCCTCAACAGATGGCAGTACTGGTATGTGGCAGGTACTGGCTTGTTCAGTAGACTCTCCTCTACAGTTCCACTTTGGCGGGAAGCCTTAGCATTGAACGGTTGTGTTTAAAGTGCAAAGTATGGAACCCTGCACAGATGGTCAGTCAATGCGACTTAAGCAACGTGCAGTCATTGAATTCTTGACAGCAGAAGGTGTCACTCCAAAGGAGATTCATCAGAGAATGCAAGCTGTTTATGGTGATTGTGTTGATGTGAGTACTGTGTGTCGTTGGGCGAGTAAGTTTAAAGATGTTGAGGTGGGAACATCTGACTTGCATGACAAACAAAGAGTTGGACGTCCTGTGACAGCAACCACCGAGTTTCACAAGCAAAAGGTTGACAGATTGATTCAGGATGATCGTCGTATCACTCAGAGAGAAATTTCAAGCATAATTGATATTTCACAAGAACGTGTGGGTCACATTATTGCTTTGGCTATCGGAAGATCTGTGCACGATGGGTACCCAGGATGCTGACGCTGGTTGCAGAAACAAAGTGTCGACTTCTTCTATGACGGCTTCAGAAGACTTGTTCATCGTTGGCAGAAATGTATTCAATTGTCTGGCGATTATGTGGGAAAGTGAATAGTGGTAGCTAAAGAGCACATTCTAAGGATTATTTCTGCATTTGATTTATTAAAATATTCCCATCCAAACCCAAGTAACGAAGGTGGAGGCATTACTTTTCATTCAACCCTCATAGAACGGGGTTGGACTGGCTGGCCTCTTGGGGACCCTTCCAACTCTCTCAGTCTGAAATTAATAACTCCTGCCTTTCTGATACTGGGATAAAAAGGTCAAACAGATCCTATCGTAGAGATAGACATTGGACTGTAATTCTTTTAAGCCTGATAATTACATTCAGTTGAGCCAAACTCATCGGTGCTCACGGCTGTTTCTTTTCTCCGCAAGGAAAAAGTATATATAATCAGGCCGGCTTAAAGTATCTGGAAAGCCGTGCCTGTAAATTTCCATGCTGGTCACGCCTGCGAAAGAGAGATGCCAGCAAATCCCTTTGATTTCCTTTGACATTGTTCTTGATCGAAGTTTGTCCAAGTGCCAAGCGTTCTCTCTCTCCTTTTCAATAATCCTGGATCCTGGCACCGAGCCCGGGTGGCCGCCGATCAAAGACAGAGCCAACGAAGCCGTCAAGCAAATTACAATCTCATTTAATTTCACCCCAAAGTGTTTTTCTTTCTCTCTCTTTTTTCAAAAAAAGAAGAATTGTCTTAAACAATGAGGGAATTATCCACTATAACCCGAATCGTTCCATTCAGTCTTGTTCTCGGGAACATAATTGGGAAAATGAACATGTAACGTCCAAGAGCTTCTTGGGGATGTTTCTATAACCAAGAATTGAATCCCAGCAGAATTGGTGAAAGGAATCGACTTATTTTATTGACTCAATCAATCCATCTGGAGTGCATCTACAGCCTGACATCCTATCAACTTCCATAGCTCAATGCTATGGAACCCTGGGAGGTGTAGTTTTGCAAGACCTTTAGCCTTCTTTTCCAAAGAGAGGTGGTGCCACACCAAACAACAACTCCCATAGTGTTCAGATATGGCAGTTTAAGTGGGGTCACATTTCATTAAATCCACAGTCTAGCGGACCCTAGTATACACAAAGAGTGCTGTCGTCCCACCAAACTACAGATCCCAGGACTTCATCACATGTGTTCATTCGTTCAGTCGTCTCCGCCTCTTCGTGACCTCATGGACCAGCCCACGCCAGAGCTCCCTGTCGGCCGTCACCACCCCCAGCTCCTTCAAGGTCAGTCCAGTCACTTCAAGGATGCCATCCATCCATCTTGCCCTTGGTCGGCCCCTCTTCCTTTTGCCTTCCACTTTCCCCAGCATAATTGTCTTCTCTAGGCTTTGCTGTCTCCTCATGATGTGGCCAAAGTACTTCAGCTTTGTCTCTAGTATCCTTCCCTCCAGTGAGCAGTCGGGCTTTATTTCCTGGAGGATGGACTGGTTGGATCTTCTCGCAGTCCAAGGCACTCTCAGGACTTTCCTCCAACACCACAGCTCAAAAGCATCTCTCTTCCTTCGCTCAGCCTTCCCTAAGGTCCAGCTCTCACATCCGTAGGTGACTACAGGGAATACCATGGCTTTGACTAGGCGGGTCTTTGTTGCCAGTCTGATGTCTCTACTCTTTACTATTTTATCGAGACTGGACATTGCTCTCCTCCCAAGAAGTAAGCGTCTTCTGATTTCCTTGCCACAGTCTGCATCACATAAGTCATGGCAATTCAAACTGCATTCATTCTACAATGTAGATCAGGTATGGTCAAACTTGGGCCCTCCAGGTGTTTTAGACTGGACTTCAACCCCTACAATTCCTAACAGCTAATAGGCTGTTAGGTATTGTGGGAGCTGAAGTCCAAAATGGATGGGCAAACTTGGATGGGCCAAACTTGGATGGCCCATGGGCAAACTTGGATAGCCCAAGTTTGCCCATGCCTTGTGTAGATGCACCTTGAGCCAAGGCACGGAAAATCTTGAACTATTTCACTGTCCTCATCCACTACTTTAAATACATGTAAATCATCTGTGGTCATTAGTAATTACTTTTTGCTTGGGTTGTTGTAGGTTTTTTGTGCTATATGGCCATGTTCTAGAAGCATTCTCTCCTGACGTTTCGCCTGCATCTATGGCAAGCAACGTCAGAGGTAGTGAGGTGAGGATGCTTGCCATAGATGCAGGTGAAACATCTGGAGAGAATGTCTCTAGACCATGGCCATATAGCCCAAAAAACCTACAACAACCCAGTGATTCCGGCCATGAAAGCCTTCGACAATACTTTTTGCTTTCTTGATGTTCAGCTGTAAACCTGCCTTTGCACTTTCCCTTTTGACGTTCTCCTGTAATGGTTCCACAACTCTGCTATTTTCTGCTAGTAGTATGGTGTCGTCTGCATAACATGAGTCACAAATGGTCCTTTCTGCAGTTTTCATGTTTCTTTCCTCCAATTTGAATCCTGCTTTCTCCATTGTATCTTTGGTATAAAAGTTAAAAGATGTGTCACAAGAAATTCAATGTGCAGATTTGATAAATATGAATTTAAAATGATGTGTGGGTATGAATGGAAGAATGGAAGGATGTGTGGTTGGAGTTAATAATTTTGGAAACACCAGTATAATATTAAGGCCCGTAATGACTAACTACCTGCTTGCTGGAACTGTGATCAAAACCTGCTAATGAGAATTGATAAGAACTGTGACAATGGTTCTTTCAAATTAAGGAAATGTTTGCAACATCCCTTATGTTAAGAAGGAAGTCAACACAAGCCTTGTGTTTGTCAACATCAATCAAGAAGATCAGCATCTGGCCAGGAAACTGAGATGGATCCAGGATGGAAGACGTCTATCATTCATTTACAACTTTGGGACTACATCAACAGAATATTCCTATAAAAGACTCAGTCTAATAATGCTCAAAGTGTGGCAGACCTGAGGAGTCTGCTCCACCTGCTATGCTCTGCTCCATGGGAAGGAGAGAGATAGTGTACCTAAGGAGAGTGACAGATATGCTATGGGAAAGCATGATTCTAGTCACTTTAGGCTTCTTTCTCAAGGGAAGAGGAAGAAATGCTTCCGGAGTCTTGGAGTCAGGTTCTGCTGTATGGAAAACAGAGATCTAGTCCTTGGCATTGGTCATAGGGAAAGAAGTTTTGGCATTTCGGCATTTTGAAGTTTTAGCGTTGTGGAAGTTTTGGTAATACTTGAATGCCTGAGGATGAATGTGTGTATATGTGGTGTGAATGTTGAGTGAAAATGTAATTCCCCTTTGTTTGTTTGTTAACCAGTGTAATTGTGAATCCAATGTAGTTGCCAGAATCTGTATACCCTCACATTGGAAAATGCAATAAAAAGAACCTATGCTTCCAAGTCATTGAAAAGTCATTTATGACAGATGGGGTGGTAAAATTCAACTTTGACAAAACCCCTTGTCAATAATATAACTTAACTACTCCTCCTCCTCATCATCATCTTCTTTCTTCTTACTTCTTTTCCTCCCACTTTTCTTCCTCCTCCCCTTCTCCTTTTCCTGCTTCTTTTCTTCTTTTTCCTCCTCCTCCTCTTCTTCCTCTTCTTCTTCTTCTTCTTCTCCTTCATCTTCTTCTTCCTCCTCTTCCCCATGCTTATTCCTGAGCAAGCAACTTGCAAAACTAAGCTGCAAATCAATGAATGAAGAGCTGGTTCTTCTGCTAATGGGCCCTGCAAAGTAAACTCATGGTTTTGCACCTCCTTGCCTTGACTTTCTTTCAGGAGGCACCAGGATGCGGAGGAACCGGATGTGGGCAAAAGCGTGGCACATGGTCATCATCTGGAGCTTGCTGGTTCCTTCACAAGGCCTTCTTGGTGGTGAGTTCACAACCAGGATTTGCTCAAGAGTGGCAACTGAGTGCCCAATCTTTTAAAATATAGGAATGAAAACCATGTAGCTCCTCAACACTTTTGAAAGCCTCTGCCCACCTTTCAGGTCTCCAGACTTTTGGGAGGGTTGCCCCCAAACTGTTGCTTTTGGAAGCTTCCGTTGTTCCCAAACTTGGATCCTCTAGGTCAGTGGATCTCAATCTGTGGGTCCCCAGATGTTTTGGCTTTCAAATCCCAGAAATCCTAACAGCTGGTAAACTGGCTGGGATTTCTGGGGGTTGTGGGCCGAAACACCTGGAGACCCACAGGTTGAGAACCACTGCTCTAGGTGTTTTGGACTTCAACTACCAGGATTCCTGGATATTGTTTTCAGTGCTCTAGGTTTCTGGGAACTGGAGTCCAAAAGACATTGAGAACCAATGTTTGGGACTTAATGCTCCATCAGCAGCAGTTATCTTCATGATTAAAGTGTCCTCCTGATACATCATATCCAAACAGCTTATCCATCTCTTATCCAAATGGGAAGCCCTTTCCCCCAGAATGGAAATTAGTTGTTGGTCACTTCTGTCAAGGTGGGATAGGTGCATGATTTATAGTTTCCCAATCATGCCCTCCCTCGAAACACTGCGTGCTGGACTGAATGCCTCAGAGACAAGAAAAAACAAATACAGCAAAGTGCTTATCAGCAGCGTGTAGATGCACACTCTGACCTTGTTCTGCTCACAGTTTAGAAAAAAAAACCCCTCTCTGATTCAGTTTTCATCCAAACTCAGGATGCTTTTAATCTTGACATATTGCTCTATATACAAAATATACACACAGAAATCAGGATCTCCTGATCCCTACTTAATCAGTGGCATCTACAGCAATATACTAATGATATAGGCAACAGACACAGTCAAGAGACGCAATGCAAGGGATATCGGCAAGGGACGCATGACAAGAGAGAGAACAAGCATTTCCTGCCTTGTTTTATACCCAGGCTGGCCTGTCATGAGCCAGGGACAACATGAATGATGCAACCCTTTGTCATGAATGTCACATGATCATGACTCAGCCTTTTCAGCATGTTCCTTAGGTAATACACTACTACCCACTTAATCATTTTGCAGATGTGTGACCACATGTCCATTTGAACTGTATTTTACGCAATAGAATAACTGCCAATGCATTTCTATCAAACAATGCATTTTCTATCCAACAACTTCTTGTTGCTGGCTCCTGAAGATTTCTTGAGGCTGAACAAACTCTGACCTGATTCAGAGTTTGTAGGCTGAGATTAGAACAAGTTTCTATGCCTTTAATGATTGAATAGGATTTGGGCTGGTGCATCAAAAAAGGGATTTATGCACTTACTGAAATTTCTCTTCTGAGCAAACATTCAAAGCATAGGAGCCATGTCCATTTTTGGGCTCCATAGCAGTCTCAACCCCATATCCTGTTCTGAAGCCAGTTTGAAATGGGCCAAAGAAGTGTGTGTCATCCACAACTGCTTTGAGTTGGAGGACAACTGCCTTCTCAATCACCTTGCCCCAAAAAGGGAGGTTGGAGACTTGTCTGTAATTATTAAGGTTCAGGGGATCAAAGGAGGGCCTTTTCAGCAGTGGTCTAACTGCTGCTTCTTTTAAGCAAGTTGAAAAGTTCCCTTACCTGAGAGAGCAAGCCGGACCATCTTTGCCTCAGAGGAAGAAAAGGGAAACTCCTCTCTGAATAAATCTGGCCGAGGAAACTCTAAGATAGGTTTATCTTAAGGTCATCATCAGTCAGGAATGACTTGAAAGCACATAGCAACATAACCAAAACTGATGTAGGACCTTAGCCAACACGTCTTTCCTTGAAAATAGAGAATTACAACTAACTCTAATTATTTGCTTGGCACAGGTGGTCTCCTTGGTCTTGGCAGTGGTGCAGGCCTCCTTGGCACAGGTATTGGTGGTGATAAGGGCCTCCTTGGCACAGGTCTTCTTGGTTCAGGTGGTGGATCCGGTGGTTCAGGTGGTGGATCTAGTGATACAGGCCTTCTTGGTACAGGTATTGGTGGTGATAAGGGCCTCCTTGGCACAGGTCTTCTTGCTTCAGGTGGTGGGTCTGGTGAGCCAGCTGGAGGAACTGCTGAATCAAGTGGTGCCTCTGCTGATAAAAGTGATGATTCTGGGAAAGGTGGTCTGCTTACAGGTTTACTTGGAGGTGGTGGAGGTGGTCTCCTTGGTGGTGGTGGAGGAGGAGATGGTGGCCTGCTTGGAGGTCTTCTTGGCAACGGAAGTCTCCTTGGTGGTGGAGCTGAATCAGGAGGTGGTGGCCTTCTTGGTGGAGTCCTGGGAGAAAAAGGACTTCTTGGTGATAAAGGTCTACTTGGCAAAGATGGGCTCTTGAATCTCGGTGGTGAAAAGGGCCTCCTTGGTGGTCTCCTCGGTGATGACAAAGGCCTTCTCGGGGGTCTCCTTGGGGACAAAGGCCTTCTCGGTGGTCTCCTTGGGGAGAAAGGCCTTCTCGGTGGTCTCCTTGGTGGCGACTTAATTGGAGGTCTTCTCGGAAGCGGTCAATCAAAGGAGCCATTCAAATGGTGAGTTGATAGAAACAAGGTGGAATCTATAGCAGTAGATAGATAGGTATCCTAACTGACAAAAAAAAAAGACTGCATCACCACAAATCTTCATAGTTCTGTGTTATACCTTAGATATTCCCTACAGTTCACATTTTTGGCCATTTTGGGACCATTGATAAGAGGCCAAACAAGGGGGTCACATTAACCCTCCATGGGACCTTTGAAGGTCACTCTCCTCCTACCATGCTCTACTTGATCTTCTTATCTTGCAGAGTTACCAGAGTGAGAACTGGTGACATCTCTTGTTCCTTTAATGGTTGTGAGGAAGGGGGAATTTCCATAGATGATGCTTATTACTTGGCTACATGACAAAGAATACCTGCAAACCTCTCGAACTTTCATTATGGGGCTATGTAGGGTTCCTCCATATCTCCTATAGGTACAGAGGCTACTTGTTTTGGAAACTTTCTTTGAGGGGGGGGCAAGCGTGGCCTCACTCTCTCCATGTCTTCTGTAAGTTAATCTTACCCTCCACCCTTCGTCTTACCCCTAAAGGTTACCTGTGCTCACCTGAAAAGTGACTATTGAGTGAAGCCCTTGGCACCCATGCTT